CCCCCCCCAATTGTACTTCACTGCTTGATGAGGTCATTGATGACAAAATAAATTAACATTACTATCAGCATCAGAGGATTACTGAGTGGTTTTCACAAATTGCAAGCTTGATGTAAGAATGCATAGCCAAGATTATCAGTTTATATATGATTGATATCAATAATGCAAACTTTCGGGGGGGGGTTCTGCAGTTTCATGTTATAGAGCAGACATACAAGGCATGAAAGCAGCTGTGCAAGACAGGAAATCAAACGGCCTGTGAGAAATCTGAAATCCCAGAACACTCAGTATACAGTGGGCTTTACACTGTATCTTCTGTGCTCTCTCTGTGTCAGTGTGCACAGGGCACTCTAAGTAGCCCATAATGCCTCACAGAAAGTAGCACACTACCGCTGGCCATTACCCACATTGTATAATATCTTGCACTGTGTCAAAGGGAAATTTACAGTCAGTTTAAAAGAAAGAGAGAAAGGCGTTTCATTAATTTGCTGAGATATGCTTGGTATAATATGGACTTATCACAAACATTCATGTCAGTATTTATATTTAGCCAACAATGTAGTACCTTTAATGCAAAAACAAGTGTCCCACGTGTGTTTGTCTAACTGAGCTCACTATACAGAAATCTAAGAAGGAAGAAGGAAGCAACGCGTACTGAAGTGTTTCTGTAACAGGATGATAATGAACACACTGTTCTATTTTATAGGAATTCAAAGTTGATTGCTCATTGGTCCCTAAAAGCAATACAATTTCATTAGAGCAGATTTAAATAAATTTACCTATCTTGTCAAAACTCCAGTGTTCCTTACAGCACTTGTTAGGGATTTTAAAAGAGGCTTTAAGGCTTTATGTCTCATAGTACTTAGGATATAAAATCTCACGCAGGTATAGCACCTGTTTAAAATACAGTCATTAGTTGTAGACAAACAGTCAGCAAAGTAGTTTCCAGTATGATATCTGCAAGACGCCTGATCTGCAAGTCACCTCAGTGCAGTCAGTCACATATGGCAAGATCCAATGATCCAGATCCAGTGATCAGTTTGTCTCGCCTTTAGAGTTGAGAAGATCAATCAGCTGGTCTGCCTGCAAAACATTAACAAAGGCAGACAGAACAGAAGTCAGACTGTCAGCAATCTTTCTGTGAGACCATAAAACGTAAGCTGGGTGAACTAAGATGATGCCACTAGGAGTTACTGAACTGAATATATTAATGTGTTGACAATGCAAATCTAGAGGGCAGTTCACTGATGCAATCAAGTTACTTAAAACCAGGTTTACACAGCAATGTCCTTATACAGAACAAGTTAGAGACTGACACTGGTCTACATTTTTTCATTTGAAATTTCCATTACCACACAAAAAGTTTAGATAAAGTTTCTTCACAGTAACTTGTAGTACTGAAGTACAGGGCTTACTGTGATGAACCAGTAGGAGTTGAGTCTGTAGAAGAGACGTGACATAAAGCCCATTTGACTAGCAGGTGCCAGGACGTGAAGGTGGAGGTGTGTGACAGAACAGAATGGAGGCCAGTGGAAACCAAATCTGCAGACAAAGAAAAGGGTTTAGAAATACTACTTATTTTTTAGTTTTTTTAAACTCATTTTATCTGATATAACAACAAAGCAAACTGTAACTAAGGTTAAGCTAGTCATCAGCAATTAAACTGCATTACAAATGATCTACTATAATTCTGACTAGATTAAGTGCTTGTTCTATTGGTAACTAAAAAACAAAACTGACCGCAAAACGGTGAATATTTGGTGGTCTGGCAACAAAAGATAACTGACTAAAACTGTCTGAAGGTCATACATTCATAACCCACTAATGTAAATTACCATAGAGAGCTGTGAAGTACCAAAATGAAACCCACCTGACATCACTGAGGTCCGTTATGTTGTTTTTTTCCAGGATTTCCTTCCCTTTGTCGACCATCCGCTTCACTGGACATAAACAATAGAAAAAGATGATCCATTTCAAACATTTACAGTTACTTTTTAAAAAATACTTTCCAACCATCCATAGCATTAGTCAGTAATATGTCAGCAATATTGTCTGAGGTGATATAAAATCCATGAGCATTACTTAAAAAGTATGCAGTTTAAACTTTACCCAATGGTACGTGCTCTTTAGTGAGGGATTTACAGTTTCCTACATGTTTGGTTGGGACAACAAGGTAGTGATGGGGGGCTCCAGGTTTGATGTCCCTGAAACATGAGATCTCTTCATCCTGCAGTAATAACACAACATAACACACACACACACACACACACACACATACACATACACACACACACACACACACATTTACACTTTAAACGTGAACGACATTACAGAATGCCTCTAGCATTGGTGCCAAATGCAATTAGTATACTGAATATAATGTAATTTATTGGAGTCTGATTTATATATATATGTATATGTATAAATATGTGCTTATTATTCTCTGTATTTTTAATATGAACTGATGCTACGGTTTAACCAACCAGCCTTCGGTATATGTCGGGGGTGAGCCACACCTTTCAACACAGTAAATCAATAACTCTACAGCTATCGGACTAACTAGCTACAATACCACTCAATTACACTCGTATACAGTGAAATTAAACGTTTCTGAATGACTAGTTTTAGAGCTTTTACTACTTGTAAACGCAGGTATTGACAATTAAAGTGTCTTAGGCTAGCTAGCAACGCATTCGTAATTATTTATTACAGTTTTCTTACACAGTGAAGAAGCTCTGTGCCCATTTCATTGTTTACAATCCTGCAGAAAATACATTTCTTATCATATCCTTCGGCTGGCACATTGCTGCTGCTTTTGGAAATATCAACCCGAGCAGGTTGTGTATCCTGGATTTCGGCCATTGTGCTGTACGGAGCTGTCAACAATCAGGCATGCTGAGTCGATCCAAGAGAACATCGAACGCATCAAGCTCGATCGTTCGTCGATCCTTATTGCAGATGTCAGGGAACAGAATTATCAGAAGAGGGCGACATATTTTCAGTTTTCTCTGGTGACCGAATCTGTCGCACACTAACAATTGTGTCAAACGCACCTTTGATGTTCTCTGATGAAAACAGAAGGGCCCTCATATGTAACTTTTTATATAAGTCGTATTTTCAGCACTCTCTGGATGGTTGTCTCACAGAAATAAATAAATAAATAAAAATAAACCCAACACTTACTGTCAGAGAACAAAACCAGTCAGTTATCTTACTATATGATCCAAATAGAAGGGGGTAACTAAGGGTTAATTTGCTCAGGCTAGAGAATATTAAAGTGGAAGTGTTGCATTAAAGACTCTGAGGTCTAAAGTCAACAGCACAAAGCTTAACTGAGATAGACGTTAAGTGATGCTATATTGTTAGTCAAGGCTGCAGTGAAACTGCTCCACTTTGTAACTTAAACAAAACTAACCACCTACCAACCCGCCCCTGCATTTACTCATGTGGTTAGCCGTGGTTTTCCCTTACTGTTGGTCTTTCTTAGTTCCTTTCCCCTGTGACACATGCAATGGGTACATATACGTTATGGTCTGTTGTTAGGTGTTTGCAAACAAGTGCGCCTCCTCTGCATTAAACTATGCTGCAAGGCTAAAGACTGTAGTTCAAGGTGTTCAAGGTGATATGAGATGGATTTCTTGAGCAGTCAGGCAAAAATGTGAAAAAAAGTTTTTCTTTGGACTAAATCACATAGTGAGCTGTAGCTTGCCATGATATTATTATACACCGATCAGGCTTAATATCATAACAGAGGCATAATGTTGATCATCTCCTCATCACAGCACCTGTTAGTGGGTGGGATATATTACATCCATACTGGCAATGGAAGAAGATGACCTGGTGTTTCTCTTTTCTTTCACAGTGTTGAGCAATGTACTGCTGGAAAAACTTAGTCCATGTGAATGTTACTTTGACACGTACCACCTATTTAATCATTGTTGCAGACCCTTTCCTGGAAATAACATTCCCTGATTGCTGTGGCCTCTTTCAGCAGGGCCTTCCCACAATCTGCCACAAAGCAGAAATGGTTCAAGAATGGTTTGAAGAGCACAACTGGTGGTGGTCAGAGGGCCCGGTGGCGCCAGTATCCGGCAGCCTCGCCTCTGTCAGTGTGCCCCAGGGCGGCTGTGGCTACAATGTAGCTTGCCATCACCAGTGTGTGAATGGGTGGATGATTGTGTAAAGCGCTTTGGGGTCCTTAGGACCAAGTAAAGCGCTATACAAATACAGACCATTTACCATTTGACTTGGCCCCCCAAATCCCCCAGATCTCAATCCACTTGCTAGACAACTCGTTCTGCTCCATGGAGGCCCCACCTCATAGCTGACTTCAGTTAACATCTTGGCACAGGTGCTACTCTGGCTGTGATTTCTGGTTGCGGGGGGTCTTGAAAGCCTGTTTGGGCTGGGCTTGATGTATTCTGTGCAACACAATAACAAATTAAAATCATTAGTCATTACTGTATGTACCTTTTAATCATGGCTTCTCATCACAATGCTTTTGTTTAGTTTCTTTGGAACAGAAGCAACTGATGATTGTAGCGTGGTGATCAGCACAGGTTCTGGGCTCAAAGCCAGGCTCGGGCCTCTCTGTGTGTGTTCTCTGTTTAGTGAATTTAAACTGGCTGTAAGTGTGAATTGTTGTCTATCTCAATGTGTTAGCCCTGCGACAGACTGACAATTATTACAGTTATTATGATTTTGTATTTTCGGAGTACTTTTTCTTAATTTCGTACTGACATTTTTTTTAGTTCATTTTATTTTCAGTTAATTTCCAGGGATAGATATTCTAGTTTGAACTGTACTTTTTATTGCTTAAAAATGTTTAGTTTATTCTTGTTTTCTTTTTTCAAATATTACGATATGGAAGTTTTATGTCAGAGGAAAAATTTGGTCAAACAAGTACAGGTATTACAAAAAAACACATGCTTCTTTAAAACAGTTGACTCACAGGCTTGTAGAGATCCTGACTCACAATAATCAAGCCTAGCAGTGCCTCATCAGGCAAGTTGGAAATGCATTTTACTAAATTAACAGATTATAAAATTAAGGATATTTCCGTTATACTTTTATTTTAGTCAGTTTTCAAAGTCCTACGGATCCCCCCAGGGCTAAAACTTTTGCGAAATCTCGCAAAAGTTTTAGCCGCATTCTTCAGAGGCTGCCAGCTCGAAGCCGACCGGGAGGTCGAGGCATGATGTGCCGGGAAAGCGGTGTTCCTCCCGGCTGTAGTAGGTCTCGACCTCCTGTTATCTTCGAGATAGTGGGTGTCAGATCTCCGAAAACGTCGGAGCACTTTTGCAAATATGTGATGTCTTGTTAACCGAGCAGGTATCTGACGTTTACACAACTACATTCATGCCTCAAAATATCTTAAAAGTGTATTTTGTGACCCAGAAAGAGTAATATTACAACTAAGTAGCTGCCGCCATTGTTGGAATTCAACTTTTGCGAGATCCCGCAAAACTTTTGCGAGATTTCGCAAAACTTTTGCAAGATCCCGAGTTTGTTTTGCGAGATCCCGAGTTTGTTTTGCGACTAAAAATTAATTTTTTTTTCTCCCATGTCCCCTGCGGGGCTCCGTAAAGTCCACAGTTTTTTACAGTTTGTTTGTTTTTTTTCAAAAATGTAGCGTGTAGGCCATTGAACCATTTTCCTTCCTGGATGGATTCTCTGTTTAAATATCTGAAGTGCGTTCTTTCAGTATTTACAGCAGGTAAAATAAATATTGAACATGTCAACAGTTTTCTAAGTAAATATGTTTCTTAGAATTTTATTGACATGAAATTCTAACCAGATGTTGGCAACTACGTGAACATACGTATCAGCACACAACACTGGCATGCTTCATATAACTTAACGGAAGGATGAATGAAAAAATGTATCTGCTGCCAGGATGATGATGATGATGAAACAAGGGTGGACGTTTCGTCAAGACTGATGATCCCGAACACAGAGCCAAGGAGGTTTCAGAGGAATAAAATAAAGCTGGTAAAATAATCCAGCCAATCAGCTGACCTAAATCCAAATGAAATTCTACTGAAAGAACTAAAGGTCAGAGTTCACAGAAGGGGTCCACTGAACCATCAAGACTGTTTGTGTGGAAGAATGGGACAAAATCACACCTCGGCAATGTATGTGACTAGTTTCTCTTTATATAGGATTCATTTTTAAGCTGTAGTCACCAACAAGGCTTTTGCACAAAGGCTTTTGAATAGATTTTTGAAAGTGTGTTCAATACTTTTCCCCATTATTACACATAACGTGTGGATTGGATGGGTTTTGTGTGAATAGCACCTTTACAAATATATTAAATGAGAAAATTGGTGATATGTTCAATACTTTTTTACTTATTTACACATTTTATCTCAGTGATATGGTGAAAGTTGTTACAGCGAAACATGAAAGCAACTGTAAGAAGGAAGAAATTTTTTTTATGTAGTTCTTCAAAAGAAAGAACAATTAACAAAGGAACAGAGGTAATATCAGACTATCTGTAACATGATATTTTGACGTTATTCGTAACAACTGCTGACTACAGCGACAGTATCAACAGGAAACTTTTTCACAAGAAAAAAGTAGCAGCACCTACACTGCCTGGCAGTCATATATAAACTTTTACTATTTCCTGAAAGTGTATTTAAATAAACAAATAACCAACAACTAGGCAATGTATGTGACATTTTATTCAAAGTGTTTTTCTCTCCAAACAGACAGGCTGGCATTTCACTTACACAAAGCAGAACTTATATTTTACAGTTAAGGTCCCTTCTTCCTCCAGCAGCATGTCTAGCAAACAATCAGCTTTTGTAGTGAAATGTTGCCCTTAAATTATTTCCAGCGCTCCTATTTTGATCCTCACTTACATGGAAAATGTTCAAACCAGCTCAGATCAGCGGTTTTTGTTCATACCAGTGTTACAGTATTTCACAATTAAATAGTTAATATAATATGAAGACACACTGAATTTAAACACGGATATAAACTTTAAAAAATCATTTTTAAATTGTCATTTTATAAAAATACTTTGATGTAAAATAAAATAAAAACAGACTCTTTCTTGAATCCCATTACAGTAGCTGCCCCGTCAGCAGGCTTCAAACTGTACAAGAGGAACTCTGAACCATGTGCACAGACGACAGCAGACGCTTCTTATTAAATACCTTGCTGATGTAACATGCAGTAAAAAATGACATCTACTCAGTTTCAACAGGAAACATAAACCTTTAATGGGATTTCACAAAAAACAGTGGTAGTACCAGCACTGCCTGACAGTCATAGAAAAACTTTAACCATTTCCTGAACAGTGTATTTAAAAAGACAGAAAATAAACAACTGGGCATGTGTGTGTATTTGATGTTTTCATAAGTACTTTTCTCTCCAAATAGACAAGCTGGTGCTTAATTTACAAAAAAAAGAATTTTTCATTTTACACTTCAGTTGACTTCTTCCTCAAGCAGCACATCCAGCTTATCCAGCAGCTGTTGTAGTGCAATGTTGTTCAACTTTGGTCCTTACTAGCAGCCACAGATTTGACTGGAAAACATTAAAACCAGTTAAAATTGTTTGTCCTAACAGTGTTATACCGATTTTAACAATAACTGGTTAATATAATTAACCAGTTATTGTTAACACACACTCACTTAACCAAAGATGCAAACTGTAAAAAAAAAACATCATTTTATAAATATGC